CGATCAGTATTGAATTGAATGATGCCGTTAAAAGAGACTTCTTGACTAATAATCGATATTCAGTTTTTGTTCCAATCAATTAGATACCAGCTCTAATGCTAATATCAATCCTTTCAATGGTGTCAGAGAGGGATGTCAGAATTATTACATTTTGGCTAACTTGATCTATGCAACATGTATATCAATCTCTGTGCGTTCTAGACATTCATCCTTTCTAGATATTCACCATCACTAGATATTCATCCTCTCTAGACATTCATCCTTTCTAGATATTCACCATCACTAGATATTCATCCTCTCTAGACATTCATCCTTTCTAGATATTCACCATCACTAGACATTCATCTAGTGTCTAGAAAGGATGAATATCTACAGATCATGAATGTCTAGAAACGATGAATGTGTACAGATCATGAATGTCTAGAAGGGATGAATGTCTAAATAGACGGATTGGGTAACGCACACTAAGTATACTCTTTCAACAGTATATGTTTTCAAATTAGCCAAAATGTAATAATTCTGACATCTATGGTGTCAGATGTGTCAACGTGTTTTTGTAGACTTGACTTTTCATCTTTAACATTTATGTCAGAGTAGCTGTCACTCTCACTAAAGACTTTTCTATTAGCAGCATTCGTTAATTTGATTTGTTCAGATATTTTCTGCGTAGCTGTTATTTTAGCAGCTCGATCTGTTCTCACTGACTGCGTAGATCTGACCGTGGAAGGTTATTAAAGATAAAACTTGATGTGTCATCGAGATTATGAAAAATGCAATTCTTGTCAAAATGTATATTACCTAAAGCTACTTTATGTGTATATCTCAAGAGTAGATATAATTAAAATGTAGCGCCTGTGTGCGTACGAAGATGGAAAGAAAAAGATAAATATTTTAGATGTCAAAAATATATGGATACATGTTTTCTTGTTCTGAACATGTTTTTGCTGTTAATAAAACGACGGGAAAAATGATCATGTTGATCGCATACAGACCGAATAACAGTGGTGTGCATTGTCGAAAAGAGTCAACTTTTTGGATACAACACTTTGTTTTGACAAATTCTATTCAGAAAAATGCGTAATAAAGCAGATGCATCATAGTAAATTTTGGTTTATCATAACGGATTCCTTGTTGAAAAGTCACCTAAGTCTACTTTCTTATGGCAACTCGAGTTTCTTTAAAAAGTCGCTGCAGGATCACGTAACGTGTTCGCTGTAGGATTCACGAAATAAGACGCGATTTTTAGCGATCGCTATTTTTTCGCGCTCATACAAAATTCTGTGACTCTCAAGTATTTTACTATAGTTACTATTTATTCACGTTTTCCGTCTAATAAAAAATGCCACGCTATTTTTACGTCGAACACAGACGAATGGCGCGCGAATGGTTCAACATGTATATGATCTGTATTTTTGGTCATTCTCATTTGAAAACGAGATATGAAAACGAACAGTGTTTCACGTATAGGTAATTCCAACCACTGTTCTTGATTTTATTTCTATAGTTTTGACCTTTACGATATTTTTTCATGGTTTTAATTGTACCGTTCTTAAACTGACGGTTTTATTTTAGGGTTTTTCTTCGATGGTTGGAAAGTGAACGGTTTAGTTTCTATGATTTTAACCTTTAGGGTTTTACTTCCATAGTTTTTCTTTCATACTTTTGCATTTGACAGTTTTCATAATGTAGTTTTTTACTTCATGGTTCTTTTACATGGTTGTCTTTCGATGGTTATGGGTTTTATGGTTTTTCTCACGTTTTTTTCCGGAGTTTTTATATGTCTCGGTGGATAAAGCGCAATAACATAGTTTATCGACGTGACGATTATTATACCAGAAGTTCGATTGGAACCGAAAATTTCCCAATGTTTTGAAAAAATTATTCGAGTATTGTCATATGAAAATGACTACTTTTTATATGATATATGTGCACGCATATATAGTCACCGTTTCTCTTTTATATCTCAAATGCATGTGCGATAGCGAGGAGCTTTACAACTTCAACAGCGAGAGCTTTTCGTAAAGTGTTGAAGTTTTCACAGAAGTCTATCCGATGACACGATGAGTATGCAGTGAAAGATATACTTCTGTAACAGTGGTTTGTGCCTTGGTCTCATAATTCACACTCGCCAAGCGTCGCAGGTTCGATTTCTGGAGGAGCTGTTATTTTTTTCGTTCATTTCAAAGTAGACGGTTTTACTTGCACAGTTTTACGTGAATGGTTTTTCCTACGGTTTTAAAACCGTCAAAGCAAGACTGTCGTATTGGAATCATAGGAAACAAAAGCATGAACAACCAAAACTGTGTCCTTTCGATCGCACGATTATGGTTTGGCTATATGTTTATAATCTGTATTATCTTAATGGTTTTTCTCATTCAAACTAGTCTTTTGCATATTGTATCAGTTTGTTTTGTGATAGGAGTCTTTTGGTATTATGGCTGAATACTATTTATACTATTTACGGTAAATGTCAAATAAACTTGCAATGGCTGGTGAGAAAACATGATTCTACTATGGAATGATCAGCGCCCTTTCATTGAGCAACCTCATTCATGGCTTTGATCCAGTAGCTCCTACAAATATATTTAAAATTTTGCTATTAAAACTGACTTTATTCGAAACTTATGCAACATTTGCAGTGCAAGAAAAATGCTTAATAAAAGTACTTTTAAAAATCATTTTTTGAGTCGCAATGCATTCCTAATCAAACTAAAAGCTCTAATCAGTGGTAGAAACCGTGCAGATATTGGATTTTGACGTTGATAATGTTCATCAGTTGCAAATATAAATTTTGCAAAAGAATATCCGGCGCCAATCAGTGTCAGTATATCGCCTACTACGTCAGTAATGAAATCATCCCAAAATTCGTGAATTACAATGTTAATAGGGAACGCAAGAGTTTCTGTTTCGGATATTGGAATGGAACATTCACTTTTGTTTGCTTCTATAGTCGATAGAATGTGTTTTGTATTATGGTTTTGTTTTAGGGTGTGCAAGATGGTGTCATAAACCCATTGATGAGACATCCGACTGGCAAACCGAACGAATACTTCACGCCTACTTATGATATATTCTTTAGCTGGATCATCTTCGAATATAAGGTGATTGAGAAATGGCCATCGTCGTTGAACTGTCTCGGTGAATTGACTTAAAACAAGTTCAATATCAGTGATAGTGATGTCTGTTGTGGCGTTCTCTTGGTTTTCCTCTGTGACTGATCTGTCAGTGGAATTATTTAACAAAAAGTTAATCCATTCCTTCCACCAGTTCCTATTACGGTCTTCGTTGATTAAGAAGTTCCAAAATGTGGATTGTAGAGCGGGTTCAAATCTTTTAGGTACGAAAAAAGAAGTTTGCCGGAAAAATCCTTTCTCTTGTAGTTCACGAAATTCGCTAAGCATTTCAGGAGTTATGGTCAAAAACTCCGGACGCCAGTTGTCGAAATTTGATTGTAATACATCCGTCAGCTCAATGTTCTCGAGGGTGGTAAATGCTTCTTTTCTTGCTTCTGATGTATACATAGACAGCACATTGATTTCATTGATAAAATAATGAGGACATTCACCTTTATCAAGGTTTTCTCGGGCGTAATTTACGAATCGATTTGTTAAATCAGCTCGAATTTGTTTCTCGTCAATGATGTCTCTATAGTTATTCTGAAGGTCAAACTCTTCGCACATCCACAGCACCACGGTTTTAATAAAATATGAATGCACACAATCATGTGAGAACGTCACAGGTTTTCGTAGATGTTTATAATATATAGTACGAGCAATGTCATTCAACATCTTTTCGCTTTTTGAACGAGATTTAGCCAAAATTTCTTCAGCATTCGAGAAGGATAATCGAAACTCGTATGAACCGTCATCCTCTGCTGTCATTTTCGACCATTTTGGAATGACATAAACGGTCGATTTTCGTACCTTTCTATAGATGATAGGTTTGTATTGTTTCCAATACCTTAACCGTTTTCGTGCCACTGATGGCCAAAAGCTCAGTTTCAGCGCCACAACGACATCGCAATCTTCAGTCATTGTTATTCTCTGACGTACTTGCGAATATCGTTGTTGAAAAATGTCTTCATTAACCATATGCCGATATTTATTATAAAAATTAACAAGAAGTCGAATTTTGTTAGTTAGTTCAGATGGAATACTAATACCAATCAGTGACATGTAGAGTATTTGATAAATTTCAATTATATGATTCGCTTTTTCCCGTTGTTTGTCCAAATATTCATTTGACAAATTAATATTAAACAGACGTTTAGAGATATTGCCAAAATCATCTTTAAATTGAAAATTAATCAAACTTTTAGCGAATAGAAAATATTGTTCAATATTCCGCTGGGCATTTCGTCTGCGTTCGTTAGTTAGCTCTTGACGCATAGTTTGTAGTTTTCTAATTATTTCTCGGTCAACTGGCGGCCATAAATCATTGTATTGTAAGAAAATACTCGCTTGATCAATACTTGTGGATGATGTTTCAAGAGATCGTACCTGATTAGCTTTTATTATGCTGTGAATATCTTCTTTTAGCTGACAACCATTTATAAATGTTCCATTGTGTGGTAGATGTCGTAAATCACGGTCCCTGTTACGTAAGATTCGAACAAAACCTGTCGCGTCAGGTACATATTCAAGATGAGATTCATTTTTTATCTCGACCTTGCTTAGATACATGATATCATACTCTACTTCTATATTATCTGCTATGAGTCGTGCAGTAAACTGCCCATCTCCCATGCTACCAGCCAAATGAAGCCGAACAGGTCTATCTTTCGATCTAGTTTTCGTAAATAACAAACCCATGCCGTCTGTTTTATTCTATGTTGAAGTAATCTGAAAGCAATTATTATCATAAGGAACAGCGTCTCTGGAAAAATGAGCATTAGCTTTGTGATCTAAGAATATTTAATTTCCTGAGAGACGAGTTGATAGTTGGCCTTCACATTATTTAGGCTCAGCTGTTAAGCAAACGCGGATTTAAAAAAAGGCTTTTATATCCCCCTTTTATGACTGAAAACGTGCCAGAGTGATATCTGGGTCACGTAACATATGAATCATCATGTTTTTGTGTTTATTACTTCAACATTTTTGCAGAAAATAAATTGTATCCCAATTGCATTGCGTTGTATCATGTATGCCTAATGGTGCTGCGAGCAAGCAACGAAAGCCTTGAAGCTCTGAACAACAATATTTTGTGTTATGTACTTCATTTTGACGCGTATCTATGAGATATTCATGTTTACTGTTCAATGACATATTTGCCTTTTTCAGTAAATTAGCCGTCGTGTTACGTCTGTATTCTTACCTATGAAGGGCAGTCTGTTGTATGTAAAAATCGTTACTTTGACCAGTATTTTGTCATTTTCATACATTATAACATAACTATAGACCTTCTAACGAAAAATCATATTTTCTCATCATCTAAAGCGTCCAAAACTTCCAATTTTTATATGCCATTCTAATATTAACTATTGTCTACCTTTTCCAGTTTATTTGAGGTTTTCTCAGGAATATTTTACTTCAAAAATGCATGATTCCCAGCATTTATGAGACTTTCGTCATATGCTAGCCGAATTCTGTTAATAGATAATTTTTTCATGTTCCATATCCCGTTAGAACTAAGAAAGTGGATGTCGTGTCTCGAAATAATACCAATAGCACTGAAATTGAAAATGATTTGGCTTGATGAAACAAGTAGATTCTCCTGTTCTTTAGTGATTCTTTCAGAAAACTTTCAATTACATGGTCAATTTTAGCTGATAAGTCAAATCCAATAGTATGGTTAGAAAGAGCACACCAAGTTGTACTTAACATACGCAAAAACTAATAAGAAGTACAGCTTCTTTAAAAGGTTGGACATATGCATATGACAGGGACTATTTCTAGAAGCACTGTGAAAATGGCTGCTATCAACGTAATATCTCTAGACAAATAAAATCGAACTTTTTTGCTTTCCTTTTCGTTAGGAGGTCTATAGTTATGTTACAGGCATTTTCCAGTTTTCTCCATTTTTTTCTTCAAAGAACAAAAGATAAAAGAGAGATGCCAGGGCATCAGATAGTACGTAATTAGTCTTACATAGCCGTGCCACTAGCAGATCAATATCATTCCTTATTGCAATAAAATAAACGTTTTACTATGTACATGTTATGGGGGTCTATAATTATGATACAGCCTGTGTATTACGTCAACACGCTTTCGATCATAAAAAGCCGAATACTTTAGGAGACAAGATCCTAACTTAGACTAGTTAGGCTCACCTCTTCCTTCTAATCCGAAAAAGCAAATTAGTTCAAGAAATAATGCAAACCTTTTTATAAACTATTTTGCTTCCAGTTTCTTCTTTTCATTCCACTAGGGTAACACTAAGGTGTGGGAAATTCAACTGCTTTTTATTTTTTC